GAAGATTTGCAACAGGCCATGCGAGGAGAAGGAAGGTATGCGAGAGGAGAAATATTGCAGAATTCATAGAGAATGGGTTGGGGTATATAAATAACTTTCAGCAACATAACCTTTGTTGTTGAAAGTTTACCCTCTCTTAGCAACCTATATCATGTTACTAAAACTCATTTGAATTTGAATTCTTTTACTCATCATCGACATGTATTATGTTGCTAAACTTTAAAATAAAAAAACTCCCGCCACACCATCAAATGATTAAATTTTAAATGATTAAATTTTTTAACAACATGGTTCTTATTGCTGAAAGTAACTTTCAGCAACAAGAGACATGTTGAAAATGGAGTTCTTATTTGGGGAGAAAAATGCGGTGGAGGGCTACTGGAAAATATCAGCAACATGGGATATGTCGCTGATATTTACTTTCAGCAACATACCCCTTGTTGCTGAAAAATGAGTAGCTTTTGGAGGGAAGAAGTGTACTGCATAACTTTCAGCAACTAAAACCTTGTCAGTGATATAATTTTTCAGTAAGAAAGGATTCCATGTTGTTGATGTTTGTTGTTAAAAGTCAAAATTTTAGTAGTGACTCATATGTGATTATAAGGGTAACAATAAAATTATAAGGTATAAAAATATTATTTTTTGATCTTATGATTAATCTCACTTACTGTAATAACTTTGGGAGAGCAAGCAATTTTGTAGTACAATAATCTTCCTGCTGCCATGGTACCCTGAAAATATTATTATTCCACTAGTTAGGCTGCACGATTATCATTTTTTTTTAACAGGCACAATCACGAGGTAAGGGATGAAAATTTTTAGTATAGCAGAGCATAATTCCAATCTTAGGTATTGTTAAAACATCAAGTGCATCTACCAGTCGGTTAATGAGGCTTGTGGGGCTATATAATTAAAAATTTGATATCACTTAGATAATTAAAAAATGAATAAGGATTTATTTGTATAAATTTTATGTATTATATTTATATAAAATTTTAATTATTTATATTTTATTTTTAATAATTTAAATTTATTTATATTT